GCTTGCTTTCTATGGGAAGAAAAATGAATGCGTTATTGATATCTGTTCAGAACTGTCAGACGTTTATGAACACATCAAAGATGTATTCAAATGATGAAGGGACAGATATGCTATTCAGTTATGCAAAATTGAATAGAAATCCTCGTTCGGCAGGGAATATGTATGTTGAGCTATACCCGAATCGTCGTATTCCGAACATCCTATGAATATTATGGGTGAGCAAATATCACCACATAAAAATTTACACAGTGAAAACTTTTTTTTTTAATTTAGGATTGGCCAGTTACAAAAATTATGCTAATCAAAAAGAAATTACTTAGTGGTGTATTTACTGTATTTCAAGCTGATCGAAATACGTTTGCTCTTTTTATGAACATAGCTAACCATAAACCTCACTCCGGAGAATCTTTCCATTCTTTTTGTTTTGATCATCTGGCAAAAAACAATCTCAACATGAACTTTTCAGAAGCAGATAAAATGTTTCTCATTTTGGGTGCCATTGACAACGAAACAGTGTCTTCCTCAATAAAAGCTAGCGGTATTAACAAATTAAAATCATTGGCTAATTATTAGAAAGATCAAACTCATGAAAGTCCAAGTACTAGCAAATCAGTTAAAAATATTGATTCACATTCGCGCAGTTTCACCGGGGACACAAAATTCTATAAATCCCAAAGTAAATATCAAACGAAAATAAGATTCGAGTGTCACCATTGTGGTTAAACGGGGCACATGAAAAGAAATGTAACTTTAAAAATATTGTAAGGGAACGAACGTGTAGAATCTACACGTTCGTAGATACTGTAACAAATGAGGAGAACACTTAGAAGCTGCTTGCTTCTAAAAGAAACATGACAAACGGGACAAAGATTTTATTTATTTCGGAAGTGACTGTTCAGTAATACAAAAACGAACTGCTGAGTACACCTGAACCTATAACCATTCAATTTACTTCGACCCGGTAAATTTGTTGGATTTTCAGGAGATGGTATAAATGTTCAACAGTTTGTCGAAGCTTCAGTAGATATTGGCGAAGTACGTGTTAATTGAGAACTTTATTTTTTTGATGATTGTTCGGAGTCTGTGAAAGAAATTCCACAGAAAATAAAGCTATCAATTATTGCAGATTAGATGATGAGTTGCATTTCTTTTATGCAAAACAGAACGTATTTCAAATGAATGAAATAATCAAGTCCAATATGGATTCAGTTTTTCAAAAATTACTTTATGATTAACAAAACATCCTTTCAGTTTCTATTAATGACTTGAGACAAATGAAGTAGGAACCTATGAAAATAAATTTAATGTCTGATAAACCTATCTCTAGAAATCCGTATAGGATGGCTGAAGCGGAAAAAGCGACATTGAATAATATTATCTCTAAGTTGATAAAGGCAAATATTATTCAATAAAGTCGGGCACCTTACGCTAGCCCAGTTCTTTTCGTAAAAAAAAATTCAGACGAGAATTGTATGTGTGTTGATTATTGGGCACTTAATGCAATAACGGTCAAAGATAAGTTCCCAATACCTAGAAAAAATATCTAATTGATAGTAATACGAAACTGTAAATATTTCAGCGGTTCAGATTTTGAATCAGGCTATCACCAAATACATATACATCCAGACTCAGTTCAGAAAACAGAGTTCATAAATCCGAAGGGTCAATTCGAATACCTGAGATCTGAGATGCTCTATTGGTTTAGCAACTCTGTTTCATTTTTTCAAAGAGCAATGTATAGTTTGAAATGAAGGGGTTATCTTTTTAGGAGTGATTAATTTTTGGGAAAGGAAGTTTTTGGCTTTATACTACTCTATCTTGATACAACAAAAAAAAGTATGAGAAAGAAGTAGAACTCATGTGAATGATATTTGATTTTAATTCCACAAAGAATGTTTGAAATACAAACTGACTAGAGAAAATTATTTTCTGTATAATTCAGTGTTCATATAGAAGTATTTGTTTAGAAAGATTTTTTTCTTTCATGTAATTCAATGTTTATATGGAAGTAGCTGTTTCAGGAGGACTTTCTTTCAGTTTGTGTCTGAAAGTTACTTCTTTGCGTGATCTATACATCCATGTATAGAGTTACTTATTTTCAAATTGATTACTTTCTTACTTTCTTTGGAAGATTCCCTCATCCTTTTTTTTGTATCAAGATGGAGTACTGGAGTAGTAGAAAGTCAAAAACTTTCTTTCTCAATGTATAGTCAGTCTATTTGGCAACATGGCATTCGAAAATATCATTATTTATTCAGATGATGTTCTAATTGTATCAAAAACAAAAGATTGATAATGTGGACACTCTCAAGAAGGTATTTCAGTTATTGTCAAAAATAACGTTACCCTTAATTTGCCCAAATGCTCTTTTCTTAAAGAAAACATCGATTTCTAGAGACAAGCATAAAATTGAAGCCGTTAACAAATTTCCACAACCGAAGAATGTTCATAGACTACACCAATTCTTAGGTCTGATAAGTTACTTCATAAAATGCATGCGTAAGTTTGTTGATGAGTTAAGCGTACTAACAAAATTATTGCGAAACGATGAAAAATGGGTATGGGCAGATGTACATATTTAAGCTGTGGAAAAATTCAAGAAAATACTAATATCGAGACCGTTTTGCTCATAATTTTTATCCGAACCTGAAAACTATAATGTACCTACACAGCCGTTAGCGAAAAGCCAGTGAGGTATTATAGTAAGTAGGCAACCTTCTGCCCAGGAAAAGAAATTTCATTCTTTCGAACTTGAGCTCCTTGCTATAATTTCTAGTGTAACAAATTAATAAACAAATTTGTTTCCAAAAATATTTCACTAATCACAAGCAAATTTATTCACAACACTTAGCAGTTGATGCTTAATTTATTTCCACTATTTGAATTACCTTGTTTAGTCGTTCGATTCACTTTCTGAACTGCCCCCTTGGGTCGGGAAGACGTGCTTATATCGGTAACGGTACTTTCTAGAAATTTGTAGTCGGTTCGGTCCTAGAATTTCACCGGCGATTCCCGAGTGCATTCTTTCACGGTGATGTCTTGTGTTTGTACGCTGAGTCGGCCGGCATGTCGGTCAGGGGCGGCTTCAGATTCGTTACACTAGTGTTGAAAAATTCCGTACTGGTTGTTGAATTTGTGATCCATACGGATTGTAATGCTGTTAAGAGCAGTCTCAATAAGAAATATATTAATGCAAGAATAAGTCGTTGGTTTCTGAGCCTTCAAAAATTCACTTATCAGATAGAACATAAGCCGGGACAACAAATGCGGCACGTAGATGCATTGAGTCGCAACCCAATGCCCAATAGAAATGTAAAGTGACTGGTTAGCTAAAATTAAAAATGAAGGCCAAGAAATTAGAAAAATGAGAGAAATATCATATTCGGAACTTATCAAAGAAGAGAAAGATATTTTCAATAATTATGATTTGAGGGCAGGTAAAGTTTTTAGAATAACAGAAAATGGTCGGCGGTAAATAGTCCCCAAATATTGTCGTTGGCTAGTAGTATAAGCAAATCATGATGACATAGGCCATTTCTGTGGTGAAAAGACAGTGCAAAGGGTTATGGATAGATATTGGTTTCCCAAGATGATAAGATTCATTACCAAATATATTAAATCTTGCCTTCAGAATCAATATCATGAGGTTCAAACAGGAAAAAAACCAGGGTTATTATTTTCTATCGTCAAGTATGCACGTCCATTTCATACTCTACACATAGACCAAGTCGTCCCATTTATAAAAACTAAAAATGATAATACCTAAATAATATAATGAAAATGCACAAGACATTTATGAAATTTTAAACAATCATTTTGTTACTGTTGGTACATCTAGTATTCCTATTCATAATAATCGTAGAGTTCAATTTGAATTATCGTTCATGTATCACAATTAGTGAATTAGATTTGAGAAAAGCTCCAGGAGTCAATGCATAATATAGGTATTCAAGGTTTAGTTTATAATTGGTATTCATTGAATAGGAAGCAATATGTATATGGTCGAGATAATTTAGTATTTTAGAACTTCATCAAATATCATTAAGGCTTCAATGTTATAAAGTGTCACTAAATTTTCAGAAATCTTCGTTTATGTTTATATCAAAATGGTCTATAGCAATTGAGTCAATTGAATTCTATAATGAAAATATTAAATACTCTCCTAGTGATAAATTGCTTGGTTTCACTATAGATGAAAATTCATCATGGAGACAACATACTGACATAAGACGCAATAAGAAGGAAAATATTTGATGGAATTATCCTATACTTGAATGAAATCCATTACGTATTCAAGAAACACTTCATTGTGAGATTTTTACTAAACTTGTTTAGCGTTTCTTAAATACGTTTTGGATTTTCTTCAAGTATAACAAAAGTACGTTACACGTGCTTGCTTGTGATGAAAACGTATAATAATATAGGATGGAGAATATAACTTTTGTCTAATTTCTAGTAAATTTATTATTCTTCACGACCGGTTTCGTTTATTAGACCATTCACAAGTACTGAGGATGGTCTAAAAAAATAAAAATCTTTTTTTTCATCCTGTATATCCAATATGAATTTCTACAAAATAAATAGATCATCAATCGAACAAGTTTATCAATAATAATTCAACAAGAAATATGCAAATTCATTGACAGATTGTCTATGAGGCGCCTCTCACTTTATCTCTTTCTCTCTGTCATCTGGAGAACCTAAGGCTGTAATGAAAGTGACTAGCGTCCCGACAATTCTACAAAATATATGGACATGCCTATTTGTGTTATTTTCATCCGAAGGCTTCCCGAGAAAGGAGCGACCAGTAAAAAATTAAATGTTATTGTTGAAAAAAAAAGGAATGAAAAATCTTAGGGTGGCAAAATTGCCTCGAAGAAGACCGCTGCGCCCCCGGACGAAGCTTTTGTTTACTATGAATAGGGAAAACTTGGCCAAATGCCCTCGAATGAGAAGCAACGGCCATAGAAATTAGAGAGAGAAGAAAAAATTTCAAAAAATTTGTGGTTATAGATAGTTTAAGATTTTCTTAAAAAATATAGAACGAAGTTAACTTGTATTGAAAATTATTCAGTTGTATCACGGAGTAGTTGTATATTGTAGTAAGTACTGTGTTTACTCATGCTAATGAGACAGTTTTGAAATCACTACAATGGAAAGCATTTACCTCCCGACTAGTTATCGTTCTTCAAAAAATTTAGAAACTGCAGGGTATTTTGAAAAATACAGTAAAATGTGCCCTCTCACTTGGGGAGGTTCATCTAGTGACAACTTCTGCAGGATTTTGGAAGAAATGGCTCTGAATGACTTCAGTGAAGTTGATTTGTCTGCCTTAGGGGCTTCTTGTAGGTGAGTAAAATTAAAATGTGTCATGGAGAAGACGATCTGAAGAATTTATTGGAACTACTCAATATTCAGTACAAGGTAATAAGCCCAATGTGGTCTTTCTAGCATCTGAGTAAGAAAATATTCTTTGTGAAGATTATGTCGCTAGTTAACAGAAACTTTGTTTGAAATGAGGAAAAATGGATGAAATATATTCAAACTTTGCAGACTACCTAGGCGACTTCATCAAAATAGTTAAGGTGAATGATGACATCTCTATTCGCGAACCTCCACATCATTCTCAGTTCAAAAATCACATATCCCATGGTGTGTAAAGGTCATTTGTTAATGGTCTTGAAACGCACTTTGAATTGATCCTACCTTCAGGTACCAGATCTGACGTAATGAACATTTTTTAGATGATAATATATTTCCAACTACTGCACAATTTAAACTTCACACACAATGGATATAATTGTACAACTGCAAATACTTCTATTTGTAACATAGCTCTCTCAACTAGGCTCATGTTTTGGGAGTGGTTAATTGTCTCAGTTCATGTTGTAGATTTATAGTGGTTTATCCAAAATGTTAACACATGTACTATTTTATTTGACATAATACAATGTCAGTTCACTACTTGGCCAGTTCATACCAGTCAGTTTGCAAAATTCATCAATTACTAGAAGGTACACTTATGCACAGATGATACCCAACTGTAATGGAATATCTGGCATCTCAGCGAGAGTGAAAATAGAGAAGAATATTTAATCATTTCATCTATACTGATGGGTCAAGATGTATAGAATATACATGGTGTGATCAATTCTACTCCTTCCCCAGGTAAAATATCTTGTCAAAAACTCTCAACCCAGAACACTGATGATAGAGAAATAATGAAGATATCCAAAAATTTTGCTTTTCGATCACAGCGGTGCTGAGTACAACTCAAGTGACGCAGCCTGACAATGTCAAGTTGGCACTTCAATTCTCAATGTTGTTTACATTTGGAAATAAATTCATATTTGGTGAAAGATATTTTCACATTATGGTCCAGAAATTGAAGATCTCAACAAAATATGGGAGACAGGTTTCGATTCTTGCAACATTTATCAATATGTGTTGGGCCAATCTCATTTGTCACATCGAAAGTTTTTCACAAAACTACGGGAATAGTTTTTTTTAAGGATAGAACTCGAGCACTACAAAAATTCCTTAAGGCCCTCTAAGAGCTGTGCCTGTCGTTAAAACACCAGAGTTTCTGTGCATCTTTTGTTGGGTAAATCTACTTATTAAACAAAGGCATCAAGACAGTAGAGAACATTCAAATATTGGAGTTTAATATATATGCAGTTAGGTTAATTTTTTTGTATATTGCACTATGCCCGAAATATCATTCATTAAATATCATTTCAACATATTTTTAGTCGAGACGTTAAATAATAACTTTAGTTTCCCTTCATTTTCAGTATCAATAAACTGCAGTTACCCAGCGAACCTGATAATTTTCCTATTGAAGTTCCTGCGAGATTGTCAACCAAATCCAAACTTGATTTCTATTATCCTGTTACAACAGAAGCAACTCAATTGAATGTAATAAAATGTAAGGAAGCTCTGGAAAAAAAGTGGATCCGTTCTGAGTTCAAATTTGGAAGTAAGCGCAGTTTGAAATTGACGATTGTGAGTAATCCCATTTGAACATTTCAGTTACTGTTTTAACAATGTGTATTTAGCTATGTCCATTCCAAATATTTAATTCTTAAGCAATCTTAGAATTTCTTCACTGTTCGAATGAACTCAATTATTTCATGATTTATGAGAAAACATTTCAGAATATAAAAAAGTACAATGTTTATTACTCTTAATCAGCAGAATAATGGAACTACCAGTTTTCAGTTGATTGACATAGATTTAATGGCAAGAAGGGTTCTTGGTTTGTAGGATTTAATAATCATGATGAAGCAGTTTCATAATCTATATTCTCATTTATTTGACTCTCTCGAAAGTCAGAATTTATCAGAAAAATGTTTGCGGGATGATATTTTTCAATCTGTAAAGCACTCCTAATACATAGTGATTTAAATTTTGATATAAATTCAAATGATGAGTTTTCATTTTTATGATGGCCTATATATTATACTATACATTCTTTTCATTTTTTTTTTATAATTGATATCAATATCTATCAATTGTGGTTGATAGTCGCCATATTTGTTTACTGATATCCGAACTTTTTTTCTTTAAAATTTGTTAGAGTATGATCAATCAAAAAGGTATTCTAATTGAATAAAAAAAAAATAATTCACCTACCTTTCTTCAAAGTGAATGAGAATTGACCAAGGAATTGACCTTTTAAAAATTTGACTTCTGGTATGTCCATTGAAGATCATATTGCAGTAAAAATATTGTACAGGGTGTAACTGAATAAGTGTAAAACATTTAAGGAGGTGATTCCTCATCGAAAAAAAAAATAGGATATTTCATATAAAGAAACTTCATTGGAGCATCCCTTCCTAAGATACATCCCCTTAAAGGGGGTACATAAAATTTGTATAACAATTTTTTTCACAAGCACTGAAAAAGTTACAATATTGAAATTAACCTGACGTTTTGTACTACCAAAAAGACACTTAGCCAGTAATTTATTTGGTTTACCCCATGGTTGTAAGGGGTGGAAAACGCAACCCCTAAAATTTATTTCCAATGTAACTTTTTGTCTTATTATTTGTTTAACATTTAAAAATTTATTTCCGATAGCCTGTTTCATTCTAAACAAAAAATGTCTCTTGGGTTTTTTGCCCAAAAT